GTACAGGTCGATAACTATTATCAAAATAAAATAAACCTGTAGGTTTTACATTTAAAAATTCAGCTATATCTTCATAATTAGGTAATGTTGCACTCAATGCAACAAAACGTACATGATTTTGTGTTGTTTTAATTAAACGATTTGTTCGAGCAATAATTGCTTCAAGTATAGGACCACGATCATCATGTAATAAATGAATTTCATCAATGATTATTAAACATACTAATTGTGTATATATACGTTCATCACCTTTACGTGTTATAATATCCCATTTTTCTGGTGTACAAACAATTATTTGTGTTTGATTTATTTCTTCTTTACTTAATTGATGATCACCAGTTAATTCTGATACTTTAATACCATAGGGATTTAAACGCTAGAAAAGAAAAGTTTCATAAAAAAACAAAATATTAAAATTAAAAAAAAGATATTTACCTCTGTAAAATTATTAACTATTTCTTGAACAAGTGATTTCATTGGGGCAATATAAATTATTTTAAATTCATTAGTATTAATAGTATTATCAGGCATAATATGTTTACCTATTTCATGTAGAATACAAAGTAATGCAACATTTGTCTTACCAGCACCCTAAAATTATAATAAAAGTTTAATATGAGAAATAATTTCTTTTTCTAACTTACAGTTGGTGCACATAATAAAATATTTTCATCAGTTTCAAGTGTTGCTTTAACCATTTGTGATTGAATACGATTTAATTCTTTATAACCATCAAAGGCTGGTTGAGCATATTTCGGTAAATTTGATATTGGATAAAGAATCTAGAATTCATTTAGAAAAACAAAGCTGTTAACACAAATCTCTGCGAGATTAAAATTTGAAACATCATATAACTGCTATTGCTAAACACAAGGCAATTATTTAATCTATTTGGGAACACATTTCTTACTTATCCTTTTACTTAAATCTCTAAAAATGCTATAAGTAGTACATATATGCGAGCTAGACGATATCGATAGACGGTCAATGGTCGTTTATTGACAACGTCTGTCATGATCTGTACGAGAGTGACACAATGAGCATTTTTTTCGTAGGACAGGCAGGCATTTGATTCTTTAATATAAAAGATCCTTTTACTGAAAAACCACTATGAGAACACATTACCTTTTATATAAGTGGAAAATAATTTTGTTATCCGAAGGCTAATAAATTATACCTCATTCGATACTGATTCTAAATATGAAGTTAGTCTTCAATAAAAGTATTTCTATATTGAGAAAAATAAATTTTCTCATAAAAACCGAAGGTTTTATAGAAAACTTCTAAGTTCACTTCAGAACTCACGCGTTAGCGTTATATCGGTGTTATGATCGGAGATCAAAATGAAAAAATCGAGACTTTGGCTTTTCGAAGTACGAATGCAGTTTCCATCTTTCGTTTCGTACTGAAGTCTTGCTTTTTTCCACTTAATTAGAGTACATTCGATAGAAGTTTTGTTCGATTCAAAACTATGACGAATTGTGCAAGTTCATTACACTGAAAATATGTTTCCGTAGAAGTTTTTTGACATTATATGAGAAGAATCTGTTTCGAATTTTAATTTTCTCAGAAATGTTTTTAATTCACAATAATAAAGATTCGTAACCCATATGAGCGACATTTTTCAACCAGAATTTTTTTGTTATTTTCCAACAAATACTAATAAAAGGAACAAAGAGGTTTACGTCATTAAACTACTCACATGTCAGAGTATACGATGTTGCACTATTTCAATCATTAAAAAGTACACTTTCAATTTTTCACTTAATATTCGCTTTCATGTCCTCAGTGGAAATGTTCAATTTTTTACTCTTATGGTTCAGCAATGTTTTTAGATGATTCATAAAAGTTTTTATTTAACTTACTTCTTCGGAATTAAATGTAGAAGGTTTAAGAGAAGGTATATGTATTTCTTCATAACCTTTCTTTTGTACACGAAAAGATCCATTTGGTAATTGACAAGTTTTATTTGACATGAAATGACTTCCTTGAGAAAATGTTAAATCTTCTAAATCAAGAATTTGATGAGTTGTATTATTATTTTCTATTATCATGTTTTCTTGATCATGATTAACTTGAAATGTTGATAAATCATGCAAAATCCATATTAATTCTGGATTATTTCTCATTTTTTTTTCAATTTCTGCTTTTTCAAATGTAGTTTGTGCTCTTGCAAGTAGAGTACAATAAAGAACTTTAAGAAAAAAAAAAATGAGAATGTTTTTTATTTTTTATTTTTGGAAGAAAAAACAAACTTACTCATTTGCCAATGTGTTTGCAATGTTTTAATAAATTCCAATTGTTCAAAACCAAGTAATATAATAAGTTTATTTTCTAATTCATGATTATTCGATGCTGTTTTAAGAATACTAAGAACTTCTTCAGCTTTGATTTTTGCATCTGTAACATTCGAGTAGATTTCAGTTAATTTACGTTCTAACCAAAATGCATCAATTGTATGTGGTTGTAATATTTTATCTGTTCGAACTAAATCATCACTCTAAAAAAAAATATATCAAAATAATTATATGTTTTTATTTTAATTTATATGAAATATAACAGTTACAAAAAGTTCTACTATCCGGTAAAACGTATCTTAAGTATAATCCTCTAGTTCTATAGTTTGACTACAAATAGAGATTGTTACACTCCGATCGTTAGAACTAATCGATTGTCATTTGTGGGAACTGGAAGGTCAATGTAGACTTTTTCTTCCAACGAGTAAATTGCAACATAGCGAATAAATTTCATGTCAAACAGCTGAATTTTAACCATTTGTCTTGATATTTTGAGGATTGTTCTGCTGTGTTCAAGTTTTCTGTGCGTCTCAAAATTACAGCAGATGAAAGTACCCTATCTGTGACATATGAATCTTAGGGAGCTTAATGCATTTAAATGCTGGAATATTTGAAAAGTCTTGTTTTTTTTGGATCCTCGGGGGAAAAGAACCGATGTTTTCATGGTAAATCCTTTGCATTAAGGTCTATCGATCTCGAGTTGCAGCTTGCAATCCTAGTTTACTGAGCTCTATCTGCAATCAATATATCGGACAAAAGGATTGACTTCTAACAACTACTGTCAAACAAAAAAAAACTCAATTACTCTTATGCAATAATTTGTTTCTTGAATATTGTCATCCATTTGAATATCTTCAATATCGAAAATTTCGTTTTCGTCATCATCACTTGAACCTTCAAATTGAATAGGAACGCCAGTTGTTTCATCGATTGTATCATCTAAAAATAGAATATTGATTATATTCTTTTTATTTTCGTTGCTGTACTTACTTTCGTTGTTGAACGACCAATCGGTAATTTTCTTATTAAGATTAACAAGAAAATTAAAATGTTCATCAGAAATTTCGAATTTTAATAATGTCGTAATTTTATTCTTACGATCTTGATTATTTAATTTATCATCTTTAAACAAAATTAATATTTCATCAGCAGCACTACGTAAAATAGTTTGTGTCTAAATTAAACGAGAAAATTGCATGAAGAAGTTTTATTCGAAAAGAAAACAAACCTGATCACCAATAATTTCTTGAATAAAATTAAGTAAAACTTCATATACTTGTTTTGTTTCATAAGTTTTTGGTTGATATAAAATATTGGATATATCATCTGTTAAATCACTAAGTAATGTTTGTCCTTTAAATCGATTTATATCATATGTTAATGAATGATCTTCATCTTTCTTTTGTTTTCTGAAGAAATCAAACATAAGAAATAAATAAGAAAAAAAAATATAAAATTCGAAATAACGAACTTATTAATAGATTCTGGTCGTGTATGTTGTACTCGATCACCCATTCGAAAGTTTTTTAAATTTTCAGCAAGTGATTGTACTTCACCGGTAGATTTATTAGGTTTATGTTGATCACTTAATGATGAATTCGTTGGCAAGACTAGATTTGAATTCTATTAAAAAAAAGACGTTTAAATATTTCTTAAACTATATTTAAAATTTTAAACTTACAGATTTATAATTATATTGTGAATGACGAACAGTTTTGTCAGCCATCGTTTACACTTGTCAGATATCACAGAAGCGATTTATAAAAAAATAAATAAATGTTTGAATGTAGGTTTACGATCGAATTTCAACAGATTGTGACGAAAGAACAATCATAAGAAGAGTAGAAAATTACAAAATAATTGAGTAAAAAATACATTGGAGAGATCAAGATCGATTTATAATCAAGTAGACACTATTTTATTGTATGCTAGTGGCATCTACAAAAAAAAATATGTGTTTCAGGTAGGAAAACTTAAAATTACATCCACATTTTAATACATAATCTAACCAGGTGTTAAAGAGTCTATTGATGCTTATATTGGAGCTTAATATTCGCCAGTCACCGATGTGACTCTATTTCATCTTCTTCTCAGTATAAGAATGGCACGGTAAAATATGATAAATTTTATTTTTCATTTTTTGATGATATTATGTTTTCTGTTTCCGTAATTCGTCATGTGTCTTTGTATACAACACCGACGTACACAATTATAAGGCTATGCCACGTAAATTCTTTTATTAGAGTACGGTCATTTATAAATGCACTTGTTTAACTTGACTGCTTGAAAAATTTGCTGGACATTCACTTCTCAAAATATTTTTAAACCAACTGTGGCATATATATCATAAATTGGCGGAGAGAGAGAGAGAAAGAGAAGCTTCTGTACTACTCCGAGGATTTTTTATTTATATTCAATATTAAAATAGATTCAATTGATATGACAGATGGCGTAACAGTAATGAATCTCATCAATCAGTCACACTACATACTAAGCATAAATTGTACAGGTAACCTTGTCTGTTACAGCTATGAAACAAAGAAAAAAAGAAGGAGAGAACGAAAGAGAATGTTTGTGATATGAGTCATTAGGAAATGACGCACGTTGCTTTTATTTATTCATGGCCGTGTCAGAGCGAGTATGCAATCCTATCGAATATATATTTATGTTGGTCTTTTTTTTGTGGCTATTGTTTTATTCGTAATGTTTTCAAACCAGAAACAACAACAAAAATCACTTCATATCCTTGCTATAGGTGATTCTCTTACAGCAGGTTATTACAATTATGGCCAATCTTTTCATCCATACGCAACACATCTAACAAATTTGCTCGATTCAGCCAATATTCCTGTAAAGATACATCAACAAGGTGTTAGTGGTGAAAAAGTTTTACCTAGCATGGTTAACAGACTTCATAGTCTGCTTGAAAAAAATGTATCTTACGACTGGGTTATTATACTAGGTGGTACCAATGATTTAGGTTGGGGTTTTTCGGCTGAAAATATCTTTAAGAAAGGTTTACAACCAATGTATGATATGTGTCTTAATCACTCACAATCAAAAGTTAAGTTGGCAGTAATGACTGTTATTGAAAATGCTGTCTATTCACCGACAGATGCTAAAGATCACAATAGACAAGAATTGAATAGAATGATTCGGGATTATGTAGCTAATGCTAATGATCAAGACAGAATTTGTCTAGTAGATCTTGACAGAGGTATACCATATCATTCTGTAAACGATAGAAAAGAACGACAACGAATCTGGGATGATTCGATTCATTTGACAGCTGCTGGATATGATCGTATGGCAACATTGATCTTTGATACAATTAAAAATAAAATATAATTATTATTTATTCAATATATAAAGAAATGAAATAATGTTGCATCTGACGTAATACCCAAAAAACTGATAGAATACTTGTGTGTATGTAATATTGTATTATAAAACTTGTTTTAAAATAAAATTTATTATTCTTTCTATCAAGATATATTTCATATGCATAAGAAAAAGAAAAAGATTGATTTTGTTCGATGACTACAATCATATTTTGATGTAAATGCTCATTTCATTTGTAATCTCCAATAGAAACAAAAAACGTTTTGTTCATGTCAGTATTATTTAATCTGTGCGAAACTATTCCATGATATGCAATGTCAATCTATTGATATGGGCAAAAACTGGGCTCATCGTTGACTACGAATCGAGTAAAATCACAAAAACTTTGAGCATTGTCTTTTTTCTCTTTCGCCAGTTCATTAAAGTTTTTCAATGATCTTATTAGACTTTCATAAAAGTTTGAGTAAATCATATTAGCATGCAGAACATATGTTGAATCATAAGGGTCAATTGTTTTTTTGTAATATGTACTTATTGTTACGCAATTCTTCAGTATTCCGTCATTGTTTGAATCACATAAGACAAACTGGGTATTTTTTAATCAGAAGAGTAAAGTTTAAAATGATAAGAAATAGTTAAAAATAGAATTCCCAGTCGGATGGTTTTGAATCCCAAAAAATTCTGTTTGTTTCGTCTCACGGAACATTTTGAGAATGCAATGGAACGAAACAAATGAGATTCAGGACTCTAGTTGAAAATCATGTTATTGATCATGTCACTATTATTGAATACAAAATTGACAATTATTTCAAAGAATTGAACAATATCCAGTGTTTTTGCTTCATTCAGAGGTGTTTTCCCGAATTTATTATACTGACTACGTTTAATGGCATTTTCAAGAGGAAAATGAACTATGTCGATGTGTCCAAAAAATGCCTGCAATATCATTAGATCACCAATGCGACCAGTACAACAAAACTCACTAACAACTATAATGAATAAGTATTAAAAGAGAAGAATAATGAAATGTACAGCTTTCTTCATTGGTTGGTTTAGTTCATAAATATATTCAACGCAGAATATACAATAATAATCATCGAAGGATTTACTTTTCTTTTATTAGTATTATTATTTGATAAATAATGCAGTTTAATCTTATTTTCTATGATATTAAACTATATTTTTGTAGAATTTGTCGGCAAAACAGAATACAATCGGAACATATAATTCTTCTTAGATTTGATGAAAATTTTCACTTTTTAATGTCACAGTATCTCCAAGTATCACAAAGGCAGTTAAGGAATGGTAATCAAATTGTTTCAGAAACCAGACATTTTATAACATCACTATTCATTGAAAAAAAGTCGAATATTTAAGTTCTTATTCTAAGTAATGATAAATGTGCGTATAATGATATTCATATTCGTTTGACTGAACGACGAAGGACAGTCATTAACTTTACGTATCAATGTATGTATATATGAATAAATATACATTACCACGAATAATTCTATTTGAATCGTTTTTCAAAGAAGAAAAAAAAGGAAGCCCATTATGAGTATAAGACAATTTGTTAAAGACATTATGAGTTTCTCGTTTTTTTTTTCTTTTTCTCATATTCTCTATTCGTTTTTCTTCATCTCTTCATCGTCATTATATCCTTGATTTGAATGTCGTCGCACAGCACTTATCTTTGTTTCCTTTACAACGATCGTAAGCTTGATGTTGTTCAACTTAATATCAATATATGAATGATGAGATTGTAATGTACATTATTTTTTTTTTCCATTCATACATGCAAAATTTTTTGTAAATGAAATGAATGTAAGTAAATAAAGAAGAATTAGAAAAATAATAAATTGTTTTGTTTTTATCTATTTTAGAATCAAATATCCGATACATCTCATTCATCATCTATTGGCGATTATTGTTCAAAGTAAAAGAAAAGTTGGATTAAATACTTTATTAACCTTGCTTTTTTATTGAAGTAAGGGACGATTTATTATTGTTATACTTGTTATTTTTACAATATTACTTGTTACAACCATAATATTGGTTGTACTTGCTAGTATAAGTATGTTATTAACTAACCATAACAACTTAACAGTGAAGTGAAGCTAACAAAGCATTTATGGATGTTGTCAGTTATAATTGAACGAGAAAATCTCAATAGTTTATTTGTTATATCTTTCAATATGATCTATTTAATTGCATTTTTTTTTGTATTATGAATGATCAACTACATTTTTTTTAATCAGTTTCAATGTCTACTTAGGACCATGTATATTTATAAAATGTCATCCACGAGCGTCAGGATGTATCAATCGATCACTATTTAAAGGACAATGTATTTGTGATTCTAATACAGCTGGTAATGGTCGAACAGTTTGTGATGGTAATTTAATGATATTTTTCAAATTCAAGTACAAGATGCATTAATTATTTTATTTTATAGAATGTGGAATAACGTATATTCGACCAAATGCTCGTATCATAGGTGGAATAGATGCTATTGAATATAGTTGGCCGTTTGCTGTTCTTATTCGACAACGATATAAGAGAATACTTACATTTAATAATAGATCTTATTTAGTAATAATTTATAAGTTAAAGTTTCAAGATGAAAAATATATATATAGATATCTGTTGTTATATTATTTAGATTTCAGCATCTTGGGTATGTGGAGGAACATTAATTAATCATAAAACAATTTTAACTGCAGTCTGTTCTAATTTTGTGAATTATCTAAGAATTATAAAATAACTATTTTAGGCGCATTGTTTGAAAACAGCTGGTGATACGTAAGTTCAATATAAAAATTAATTTAATTATCTGAAAAAGTATTTGAGATAGAGAATAATGATTTCAGAGTGATAATCTTAGTTTACTCTCACTGCGAGAATTGTTGATAATATATCCAGTTTATTTAATAGTGAATCTTTTAAAGCTTGTGCTCTCTGAAGATCTATTCATTGTGTTGACGTGAACTAAATTTTAAATCAAGCCCTTGATCTACTATGATAAAACATCGAATAAGATTCTATCGGAATGGATTCTTAAAAAATTAAAATGCGTTTTTTTCTCTATCAGTGAAATACCGATTTATAAAAATGGAAAGGAACTTCAAACTACAATACCAACGAACATAGGAGTCAACTTTAACACCCATTAGATTTTCGAGAATTCTATCTATTTTTATGCATTTTCCTTAAGTTCACCTCTGAATTCTCATAAATCAATATTTACTTAAGAGAATTCTTTCATCATTGAAGAAGTAGATGAATAACTAAATAATTGAATATTCTATGAAAATATTCTTATAAATATTATACAGATCGCATAATTTCAAACTGAAACTTATCAATGATTAAAAATCTTATCTTTTAGATTCGATTATAAAGCATTTGCAGTTTCTATTGTATGGAATAAATATTATTCAAATATCGAGAGTGTAGGTTTACTCACCAGACAATATTTATATATTCAATTTTTTTCTAGACTTTAGAAGTTAGTGTAGGTTTACATGATCGACGAAAAGCAACTGAACGACATATTGTAAAAGTTCTTCAAGTAATTTTAGTAAGATAAAAAAAAACAAAATGTTCACAAATATATCGACAGTAATGGATTATTTTATTTTCTAAGCATCCATCTTATAATGACAGATATTTACTTAATGATATTGCAATTCTTAAACTGAAAGACTATCTACGACCATCATCTAAGATTCAATTTGCTTGTTTACCTTATTTATTATCTGAAGTAAATATGACAGGTATTGTTGTTGGTTTTGGTGATACTTTTCCAGGTGCAAATCAAGGTGAAAATTGTCGAAAATATAAAAATATTCATTAATGTTTATATTTCTTGGTTCTTTTTCTTTTCAGGTTCATCTATTCTTAAACAAGTTAATCTAACCATATATCCTAATGATTTTTGTACGAATGTTTCACCATCAACAAAAAAAAATTGGAATACACAAATATGTTGTGGTGATTTGAATGGAGAGCGTGATACATGTCAAGGTGATAGTGGTGGCGGTTTATTTATTCAACGAAATTTATCAAATATATTATATTATAGTATTGATGGTATTGTTTCTTATGGTGAACAATGTGCTAGTCCAATGAAACCGGGCATTTATACACGAGTATCAAATTATATTGATTGGATTCAAGAAAACAGTGATTTTGATAGATATGAAATTGAATGAATTGTTTTAATCATTATATATTTGTATACAAAAATAAAGAGAAAAAATTAATAATATACAGTGTTATTGAAAGCTTTGTCAAAGATTTTTAGATGTAAATAATTATCGAGATAGTGTGACATCATATTTCGTATTCCATAGAAAGAGAATATATCTTTCGTTATTATGTTCTGATTACGGCGATGTACTTATTTTACTAAATCAATTGAGAAAAAAGAAATTTACTTATATACATAGTTACATTTACGGATTTACTTTGTCGTTATATCCGTCGCATGCTATTTAATTTAGTTGTCTTTGTAAGCAAAAAATTGCACAATCATGATGAAGGTTGATGACATATTGTCAATAAACACGTTGACATACAGAAAAATAAATTTTAACAAGCATTCTTTTTAACGAAACATAATGTTCGACAGCGAACAACATTAATGTCTGATAAAGTTTCTTCATCTTTATTTTTGCATTATCTGTCGAATTCATCTATCGCATTCTGGATAATTTCAACGAGTTCACAATTTTATGTTCAGTTCTAAATATCTGTATACGGTTGAATGCGAACACTGATACATATCATCGATATCAGGTAAATTTCATTTTTATCATGGAATCAAATTTTGATCATTTTTAAGATATTGCTTAGTTCAACAAACGATTAATTTGATTATTTTACTTGTTGATTTTAGAATAGTAAAAATTCGAAGGAAATATTTTGACTTTGATAAATATTATATCGAAGAAAAGAATAAATGATATTATTCAAGCAATTTCTCACGATCTAATTGAGTTTCTTATTTGTTCTGCAATATTTTATTAAACAGAAAACAAACTCAATATATTTTTTAAAAAAACATCAAACCTTTAGGCATAGCAGCTTTGTTTTCCTACATTATTTATAAAAAAAGTTTTCTTCAGATCAGTTGAATTCAAAGATTATAGAAGAGATCTAGTTGAATATCATGAATTCTACACACGTTGAATTAGCGAAAGCTAAATATTCATTAAACATACGAAACCATAAAAGAAAGTAAACATAATTCGAAGTAATTATCCAATCAATCAGTGAATGACATGTAATTTTTGAGAAATCAGTTTTTTTCTGAATGTAGGATTACTTAAGAGAACATGGATAATTTATTTAATTGATGGATCGATCGGTTGGTCCTAAAAAATTCTCTAGCTCATAATACTTCTCACATAAAAAAGAATTTCCTTAACTACACTGAATGTAGATCTTGAACAATCATGTATCGTTTGTTTTGTATGAAATTTCGGGTGATTTTATCAATCAATATCAGTATCGATATACATATCTTTTTGTGTCGTGACGATTCTCTTATGTATATGATGCTTACATGTGGGATTGCATTGAATTGCATCATTTCTTTATACAAAGACCGAATTTATTACTTTGAAAAAGATTCTTAGATGCTTTTTGACAAGAGGACATACGATTCGAGAAAAAAAAGAGAAAAGCGAATCTACTTCGTTTTCGTATTTTTTTTTTCTCGTCTTTAGACGTTCGATAAGTGATTAAACCAGGATGATTCATTGCAACTATTTTGTACGACTCTGTTGCAGTCCTTCTTACTTCTTTTCGTATCTAACTAACATTAACGTTATTGTCATGACTTCTCTAGGTCACTTTAAAGTCTTTTCAATTATGCTCTAGAAAAAAACTGTTGATAATTATGATAAAATTTTCTCTAAAGCCTAATGAGCATCTTGCATATGTCTTCTAAACACTCGAATATACATAAAAAATCGATCAGGTCCTGATCAGATATGATGTAAATTTTGAGCAAATTTCATCTATTCATCTTTCAATCTTCCACCATAATCTGCATTTGATTTTCATTGAGTTTGCATCAATCATACAGCAAACGCCATCAATAAGATTAAGAAGAATACTTCAAACTGTGAGAACAATTTCATGACCAACTAAACCATAAGAAATAGTATAACTGCACATTCAACTCCGTCCTAATGGCATTTCTCTAATCATGATCATAATCTTGGAGTGGACTTTAAATAATTCCTTTTAAATTTTTATAGCACTAATCGACAACATTGAAGAATTTAACTTCGTGAAAAAGCAACTTAAACTAATACAGTTATCACTTCGCTCGGTGCACGTACTCAGTGCAAATGTTGTGCCTCTTATTTCTTTGACATCATGCCAATAAGAATTTTACTTTGATGATAGTCTGTGTGGAAGGACAGATGATGAAGAAAAAGCGAGAGATGAGAGTTGAGAATGATACATCACACTGCTGCTTGTGAAAAGAAAGCACAAGATGGTTGGTGAAGATTGATACAGACAAGGAGTTGAGCCTACAACAAAATAAACAAATGATATGTTGACTTAGAAGGATGGTATGCAGGCTAATACCACATTTTGGTTCAATAACCCTTTGTTTTGCAACTTTGGCATTAAACTAGAGGATCTAGTACCGTCGGCTGTAATAAAAACAGATGCGTCGAAGTTCTGTCTTGTGGAAAAATAGAATAAATAAAGATAGATAGAACGCAACGAAGATTGGTTTATTCATTGTCTCAATGAGAAATAACATTTACTATATTTGGTTAGATTTGATGAGATGAATATGAGGCTTCAATGCAAATTCAAGTTTTACTTGAGAAAATTCATTATTGACAAAGTGAAAATTTGACATTATTCAATACGCGTCCGACCATTACAATCATCGGGATACTCAGAATCACCAGCGCCATGATCATAGGAACTCATAATCTCAACTCAAACATGAGGGGCAAGATGATGACGATCAGTATCATGATTTTCAACTCTACAGCAAAATATTGACTTCAAGCATATTTTACATCAGGAAAGAAATTCACTTTTTTTAATAATAAGACAAAGCTAGACTTTTATTCATTTAATAAGATTACGGATGACACCGAAGAATAGAAAGGAAAAGAGAAGGCTTGCAGTGTGCATATTGAGAATTATTACGGTAAATAGGCGATCACTGCTTTAAATGGTTCTTTTCTCTATCCTCTACGATATTATCACACTGCATTAGCAATATCTAGTTCACTCCTGTTGTAATTAAACATTTACAAATCAATATAGAAGAGAGTTTTCATATTTAACATTATTACAGTGTCTTCGAATCAAGTAGACCAAGGTTTTGGTTAAAATATGATCAACTACGAAACGTATAAAAGTGAAGCAAATGTCGATACTGTAACTTCTTTGTTTTCTTAGATATCTCAAAGCATCGTTGAGAGTTACTTATGACAGGATATCTAACCTGTTTCATAAACAAGACTTTGATGAATATTTTCGCGTGATTATAATTTCGACTAGATGATATGAATCTGTTAAATGACTGATATGAATGAAAAACTCTGAGAATATTTTTTTATAAAGACGGATCTGGTGGTTTGTCAGATGAGTTATCGATAAAGCAGTGATCGTTTCTTATTTGAATCATTGTTGAAGGTATTGCCACACGGAAGCAAAAAAAGAATAGTGCTAAAATACGAATATTATCTTGCTAGACAAATACAGAGTTTTCTTATTCTTGTCAATCTCATAGTCTCATTTTATGTTCTCAGTAATAATCTTTCATTTTTCTTTTTTACACGAGTCGTTTGATGAGTTTTTCTGTTTTTCAAATCATTCTTAGCAATTTTCAATCTATGTTGCAAATAGATACAACTCATGCACAACATGCTGTCAATTCGATCGGTAAAAAATGCTTTTTCAATCATATGATTTTTGACGTCTGAATAAGGAATTCATTCATCTATCTGAAACTATCAGGACGAATAATATTCGATCAGTATATCCATGGCATGTGTGCTGACGATCTCTTAGATACAGAACATCAGAATGATTTCAACATTGTTTTGTTTCAAAGAGTAAAATTTGAAAAGTATATACACAAAACAAAACGATTTTCAGGAATGATCATCTTTTAATATCGTTCTCGAAAAGATCTTTATCGCTTGTTTAAGTAGAATTCTCTTTTTTTAACTATATAATCAAAATTAAGTATGAAGTAGATTTTTTTATTTATTTTAACACTATATCCTAATGAATATGTCATAACATACAAAAAAATATAGAGAGAATATATAACTAATTTGTATCTATCTGTACAACAAGTAAAACAGATCTGACATAATATATACTATTAATCTTCTTGCTCGTCATCGACGTTATCATTATTTGTTTTAGTTTCTTTTTCAGGTATAACCAATTTATGTGTTTCCCAATCTTGAATTTCATTCTAGAAGAAAAATATTATATTATTATTATTATTATTCATTTTTAATCATCATAATATTCATTCAAATTAAGTTTACTTTTTCAATAGATTCATTAATCCATTCATAATTTACACAAGGAATATTTAATTTTTTTGCATCGAAAAATTTCGCTGTTTTACGTGCCATATCAGATATTAAATAAACATTATCGCGTCGATTCTAATAGAAAGAAAAAAAAGAACAACATGAAAGTAAATTATAGACATAATTAATATTTTATTCATACAACAGTTGGCATTTTTTCAATCACTTTTCCACCATGACTTTCAATTGAATCTTGAATTTTATGTCGAATTTCTATTGAATCTAAAAAGAAAACGTTTTAATCCAAAAAAAGAAAAAGAAAAACAAATAGCGATAACGATATTCTACCATTGAAACCCGTAAGAAGAAAATACATAGTATTAAACAATTTTGTTTGACGTGTTGGTGTATATGCTAGATTGATTTCAGAAAAAGTGAAGTAAAATAAAAATATATAGTATTTAATTATCTTACTTGATCGTTGATTTTTATTTGGTGATGCAAAAATTGAACTTTTTGTTTTTTTATTTGGCGATTGAGGTACTGTTAGTGTTCGTTTACGTTTTCCTTGAACAATATTTGTTGATGCTAAACAAAAAAGAAAAATCAAATATTTACTCAAATGATTAATCAATAAAAATTAATTACCTTCTATATTGTTATTAACTATTGGTAAATGTTCAGCTTGTTCGTGAGTTAATGAAACAAAACGTAATGGATACCATTTTTCTTTTCCATCTTTTTCAACAACATAACCTAATTTTCCAGTTTTTTTCTTTTTAATTAAACGTTTAACAATGCCACTATCAAAATATCCATCTTGTGTTTGTGCTAAAACATTTTGATCAGCTTCTAAATAACTTTTAGATATGATTTCATTTGATTTAACATAACGTTTAGCACCATCATCAAAATCAATCAAATATCTGTAAAAAAGAAATCAACTTTATTATTAGAACAATATTTTTTGGAACTTACTTTTCACCATTACTATTTCCAATCACACCAGGATAAAAATGACCATCAAGCCATTTAGCAAAAACTCGTGAACCTTTTGTTAATGATTGTCCCGTAGAATTTTTTGATGTTGGTATAAATTCATCACCACTAATATCATCTGTTGGTACGTCATCATCATCATCATCATCGTCATCATTATTATCTTCATCAGTAGAATCTTCATTTGTATTAGTTTTTGATACTTCATCATCATCACTAATAAAATGATCAGAATTCAATACTATTAGATCAAGCGTTTCTTTTACCTTTGAGCAGATTTTGATGGTTTAGAAGAAACAACATTTGAAGTTGGTTTCCTAAAAAAGAAAACCAAAATAGTCAATGATTATCGACGATTACTTTATGCATGTTTCAGGTACAAATTAAATGGTATATTAACAGTTCTACTTCGTCGAATCTCAGACCCTACAATCTATATACAATAGTATTCTGTGGCTGAGTCAAGTACCTAGTACCGAACACGATCCTAAGTATGAGTGCGGTTGCAAACTGATATTTTTTAGATAAGCATAGTAGTGGAGCGCGATATTGTTTGGTTAAAAGATTTCGTTTTCTTAATAAAATTTCATCTACAGATGATGATGAAGAACTGTATGACGAAGTAACTGAATACAGGAAGAGGAAAATGAGTTATCAAAAAGGTAAATAGTATTATTGTGATGACAAACAGTATTTATGTATGTATCTACAATTATGATGTTTAGAAACACAAAAACGCTAACTGAATCCTGAATTAGTTGCTTTTTTTATGAAATTTCAGATAATCTCTGTTTTTTTTTGCTGCTGTTTATAAAAGAAAAACTAAGTAGTATACTTTTTCATATAAAATTTAGGTTAGAAAATCGTACTGTGATTACAAAAGTGTCTGCCAAATGTTGATTAGGTTCGGTTACGAAAGTTCTAACCATTCAGGATTACTAATCTACAAGCAGATCCGACACAATTTATGTTTATCATCATCTTAGATATTACACAAGTTATTTTTACAATTTCATACATCTGAAGTGTTCTATTCGAAGAGTAACAGTTTAAAAGTCGATTGTATTCGGGCATTGAAAGTCATCACATTGGAAAGTTTTTCTAATACTTACAAACTTTTTGTCTTTCGTTTTGGTACATTTGATTTTGTTGATTTTTTTCGAGAAGTTTCTGTAGGTCGAGAAGTTTTCGTAGTTGAACGACGATGCTTTTTTTCCTGCGGTGGCCATAATTCTATACGAGTAGTTGTATTTTCTTCCATAGTACGCTATTCAAAAAGAAGAAAAAAAAAATATTTTTCATTGTTGAAAAGAAAAATATTAAAAAAAAAAAAAACAAAATCTTACTTCATTAAGAAGTTCACGTGATATAGTTCGTCCATTTTGATCAATTTTAACAGCATAACGACGTACTACTTTTGATATAGATTCTTTAATAAATAATTCTTCTTCTTCTCGCTAAATATATATATATGTTATATATTAATAAATAAAATATTCAAGACCAAAAACTTTTTACCGTTGTTATATTTGATTCATTTTCATTTCCATATGCTGAAGTTGTTTGTCGTGCTGGTGAAGCATTTAATTTAGCAAGAATACTTTCAAATTTATTTGTTGCCGGTTGACTCAATGCATACAAAGATTTTGAAGCAGGTGATATCTAAAGTTTTTTTTTTTGTTTGTTTTTAAATAAAGTGAATCAAAATATTGATCGTAATTTCGACAAAGATTTGTAGAAAATAAAATTTTCACAATATTTTCTAAATCCCAAAACTCGTTTTTCAGTATTCAGAATGTGAAAAGAAATGTTCTTTTATAAAACATCGTATTCTCTAGAGCATGAAATTTCTTTAAACTCTTCACGACATTCTTTATCTGAACTACATCAATTTTAAGCAAAAGCAAAAAACACGTTCTTTTTCCCACAGGAAATAACGAAAAAAAAAAAACCACTTCTGTGCTTTTCTTACAATTTATGTAGTTAAGTTACAAAATGTCGTGACGAGCTCGAAGACATCTCATTTTCTAGAGGATAATTTATCCTCTCAACAACAAAAAAACTTTTATTGTATGATCAATGTTTCAAATCATTGTATATGTACAATAGAAAAGTAATGCACTCACCATCGTTTTACTTTGATTAGGTGATTGAACCTTAGTAGTCTTTTCAGTAACTGAAGTAGATTCAATAATAAGTGCAGAAGTAGGTTGTGAATCAATAATACCATCACTACCTAATGACGCTTGTGCATCACTTGTATCCATTGGTTCATCTTTTGGTTTATTGTTGAGTTCTGAAAATGATATTAATCATGCTCGGTTTATTAATTTTTGTATAAATTGTTATAGAACCTGTTAGTTGATTTTTTTCTTCGATTTCTGTCGTTGATATATTTGTAGGATTCAATCTATGATTGAATATATTACATAAGTTAGATAAATCAAATAATTTCTTACTGTGCATCATCATTCGTTGTTTCAAGACTAGTTATTGGTGAAATATAAAGTCGTAAATCTAAAGAAATGGTTGAGTTAAATTCAAAAAAAAAACAAAAATTATAATTCTTACTATTTGTTGTAGTTGATGCATCAAGTCCAGATACGTTTGAATCCTTAATCAAAATCGAAACAGAAAAATTCATAAAGTTTTTTCTATATGAATACAAACTGATTTTGTTTTTGATGCCGAATCGATTACAGTAGTTTTCTATCAAGATAATTATACATATATTTATAATTCATTATTACAAAGAAAGAATACCTGTTCGTCTGTCTGTGATTTTTCTAATGATACATCTAAATTTATAAGTTGAATAGAACATTAAAAAAATACTAATGAAGAAAATTTCCCAACTGATTATTCATTTTAAATCAATACCATGGTTTTCCACAAGAACACTCAGAAAAACTTATTTTTGAATTCCAGCTTGTAACTTTTGATAGAGACTGATCTCATTGATAAATAAGTTATTAGGATCTACCTGACGCTCAAGGTCTTGACTCCAAAACGATTAATTTGTTGAGGAACTTTTTCCTTAAGATTATTATGCATTACCTTTTTCAGTTGAAATACCACTTTCATCAGTTAATGTTGAATGAGCCATCGGTGGTTGAATAATAAATGGCTATATGTGGAAAAAAAAGAAACAAGTTTATGGAATAGGAATGTTTTTTTTAATTTTATTATCTTACATTATCCGATGTTAAATTATTTTGAGTATCAATCGAAGATGTTGGTTGTTCAGTTGATACTCCATTATTAACTGTTGAAATTGAGCAGTTTTGAGCGTCTGTTTGCATAGCATCAATTTCTTGATTGTTGACCTTGAATAAAAGAAAAATACTATTCATTTTTTGTTGTTTTTGAATTAATCATTCATGTTTTATTCTATATGGTTTTTTTTGAAAAAGATTCCATTCAATGTCTTGAAAGTATCAAATTGGTAACATTTATTTTATCAATTATTGATAATTAAAGTTATACAAATTAGAGTGACTCGTGAAAAACATTTATATTTGTTGTTTTATATAGTTTGTGTCAATTTACGATAGAAAAATTGAAATTGAGACGATAGTACGACATCTGATCTTTCATAAACGACATGTTTTTTTATTTGGTATGTCGTTTTTTTTTTCCAAAATTTTTGATGATTTCTACTACATTCTATTTGAAAAATATGCTATTTTCATTACGAGTCTATGGTTTCTCCAAGCAATTTCATTATAGTCAATTACTATCATTTTGTTGTTTGAAAGAGCATGTGAGGCTGCCGTGCCTGTTTTCTTTTTAATAAAACTTTTTCATTATTATATTAAAAAGAAAGTATTTCTATAAATAGATGACCGTTTTCCTTCATATAAAAATTAAGAATAACAAAAAAAGGACACTGTAGTGTGACATGTTGTTCGAAATAAAAAATCTAAATCTAAAGGATAAGTGTTCACAAAGAATCTAAGGTTGTAGAATGAGATACTTTTGAGCTTGATCTGCTAAGTATCTCCTGAAAATATCATGATATAGAGCTGAAAATTTCATACGATTTGAATGCATTTGGTTCGTGATCAATTTTTGAAGAAAAGATTTTAGCAAATACTATTTCGTAGGATATTTCTATAAAATCTATCTCATGATTTTTCAACATCAATAAAAAAAAAAATACATGATCATTTTCAATCTTTTTTCATTAATCTAACCTGTTCAATTGGTTTTTGATTTTCTTTTGCTTGATCTGTAAATAATAAAATAATATTTTATGAAAAATAAAATTCTCTAATAACCTTTCGTAGGCATATTTTTATCAGTACGATTTGCTAATTGTTTATTTCGATATGAATGTTCACTAAAAAAAAACTCAATGATAATTAAACAAAAAAAAAAATCTAAACAAATACTTCAATGTTTCTTGGCTTTCATAATTAAGCGAGATAATATCATCGCTTCCAGCAATATCACTATATTCTGACATCTGAAAAGATGACAAAATTCATTCTGTATTGTTTTTAGTATCCAAAAAAAAAAAAAAAACTTCGATGAGTATTAATATACAAAAAAAAAAAATTAAGTAAACATCAAAGATAGTCTTAAAGAAATTGTTTTAAGCTTGTGCGGCATCTAAAATAGAATACAAAAAAAGATTCATTTTTTTATTCGAATAATAAATAACACACTTTTTCCATCGCATGCTACAATTTTAACTTTATCAACAATAGGTATTTGTGGAGTAGGGGCTGCTGCATTATGTTGACTTTGATTCGAATCTTTAACATTAAAATTTGTTAATACAAGTGTCCAAACATTGTCACAAAAACGATATGTACTTAATTTTCCCTAAAAGAATTTAAAAAAAAAATGATCTTTTTTTTTAATCAAGATTTAATTCTTCATTATACCGAAAATTGAACTTTTTTATTAATTCGTTTATCAAGTGCTAAATTAATTGATCGATCGAATTCACTTAAAACTTTACCAGCTGCTTGATCAGTCAATGCACCTTGCTATTATAAAAGAATGTAAATATATATATATATATAAATGTATTAAAAATGAATAAATTTATATAACCGAAATCATTTCTTCCAGGGTGTCCTGTAATGTAACACCTAATGTTGTATTACGATACAGTTGATAATTGGCCATTCTGAAAAAAAGATGTGGATAACAGCAATTATGGCAAAGAAGAACAATCGAATACGACTATTATATGAACGTAATAGGCCGATTGGAATATATTACACTATGGTGGTGCAATAATAGACAGACGTCTGTCTATTTTTCGTCAACGTTCACTATAATTTGATTGATGTGTTACGAAAACCAATCACATCATGACTTTTGATATATTGTCGCCACATTAGCGTTGTCACGTGTAAGCGACACGAGACCTGCTATTGAGATCATACAAATAGCATAGCGCGTACTCGACTCCACTCTATACTCTAAAAGTTCTTATTGACGCCTGTTGCTATTATGTCGAAATACGATCTTTATGGTGATCCAACGAAGGTTGAGTTCTGAAAATGTCTACTAGTTTTTATGAGTCTTAATATTTCAGGCTGGTCCACAGCCAAAATTTAAACCTCAAGAGCAAGATTCACCCGGTTATGAGAGTAAAATGGATCCAATACCGGATTATGGTCTTGATAGTTATAAAGGTTCGGGTAAACTTCTCGATAAAATTGCAGTAATTACTGGTAAGATTAATAATTATTTTCAAATGAATATTATATATTTCTTGTTAAGGTGGGGATTCTGGTATTGGTCGAGCTGTTGCTTTAGCATATGCACGTGAAGGTGCAACAATAGTTATTTCATATTTAAATGAACATGAGGATGCTTCAGAAATTCAAAAAGCTGTTGAACAATCCGGTCGTCAATGTATTTTAGTGGTAAGATTTCTACCAGACTGTAAAATCGAATTTATTTTTAACTGCATCGTCTCTTGATTTTGAAATAATGTTACATATTTTTATATTCGTTAAAGACGAATAATATATTTGTATATCGGAGAGTGAATGTCCATTAAGACTAAGTAGAATATATCTGAAAAATTAACATAAATATACGTGTTTTCGATACTGATTAACTTTTGTTATCGTGAATAAAAGAGCATTAGCATTTACTTTTAAAGTATAAGATGTGTAGAAATGTTTTTCCAAGGAAATATTAGATATTAACATGAATTAACAAGATACTAACTGATCTGAAGATAAGTTAAAACTACGAATTCATAGCATTCTAACCGGAGGAAAACCACCGAGAATAGTTTGATACTTAATTAGTCGATTATTATTTGACCTCCAGTCTACCAATATATACAACGACGGTAATACGACATGGGAAGAAAAATTGAAGAACGTTTTTTTTTGTATCATATAATTAGAGGTGAGCGCAGAGTAAATTAATGTAGGGAGAATGAGCACTATATGGAAAAATTTCAGAGGCAGGAGGTATTACGCACCTGTATATAATCAATATTGGTATTATTAGTAGATATTTTTCATGATCATCATTCTCTTCCTCATATGAGCTGCGTTAGTTATGCAGAAAAATTTATCTTATATAGCAAATGAACAGCAAGTTCCCTACTGTTTGAAAGAAAAATCTATTTAATCGAAATTTCAATGTTTTTGGTTATTGATTTGTATTTTTCTTTGTTCTTTTAGCCTGGTGATATCAGTCAAGTAAGTTTTGATTTTCTTCAATCAGAAGAACAACTAAACATATATATCATTAGGAAGTACAATGTAAAAATCTTATTGATACTACAGTATCAAAATTTAAACGAATTGATATATTAGTAAATAATGCTGCATACCAAGGAAAACAAGTGGTTAGTTATTTTGATATAAAAGAAAAACTAATCCTATGTTAAATTTGTTTTCTTGTTTTATTTATAGCAAGACATTAGTGAACTTGATCATCAACGAGTAGAATATACATTTAAAACAAATATTATTTCGAGTAAATATTGATGATAAAAGAAAATTTAATTCTTATTTCTTGTTAGTGTTTGATTTGGTTCGATATGCCATTCCACATATGCCCAAAGGTGGAGCAATTATTAATGTTGGTTCAATTCAAGCGTAAATTAAATTAAAAAAATTTTTTCCTATATTCTATTATATATTATTATTTAGTTATGATCCATCAGCTGAAATCTTAGATTATGCAACAACAAAAGCTGCTATTGTTGGTTTTACAAAAGGTTTAGCTCGTAAACTTTTAGAAAAAGGAATTCGAGTTAATTGTGTTGGCAGTAAATAAACTATTTTATTTGATTCTTTTTTTTTTTGAAAATAAAATTTCTAATTTAGCCTGGACCCGTATGGACTCCATTAGTTGTTGCATCGTTTCCAAAAGAAAAAAATTCACAATTTGGATCAAATTATCCAATTAAACGACCAGCACAACCACGAGAACTAGCACCAGCTTTTGTTTTCTTAGCTTGTGGAGCTGATTCATCATATGTATCTGGGTAAATAATCAAATTGATTCTTTGAATAATATTAAAATTAAATACTTTTTTTATTTTTTCATTTTAGTGAAATTCTGGCGGGTAAGTTTGTTGATCTTATTTATCGTTTATTAAATATTACGTTCTTTTTTTATTAAAGTCACTGGTGGTGAACCAACAGTTTAGACAAGTATCAATCAAACTTTAATTTTGTCCATAGACTGTCTGATGGAATAGTATGTAAACACATCAGATTAGCATAATTTAATCTAGCTTTCATTTTTTTTTGTTTTGTTTAAATAATTTGTTTTTTGTTATATTAAACAAGCTGTATATTTTAAATAGAAGATTTTCATTTAGTATAACAAAGATATGAACACAATTATTCGTTCGTTATGTGACGTCATAAGATTAAAGCTCATGTATTGTGGGATAACGAACTTTTCTAGAACTAATTTTTATATATTATATTTATGCTACGCTAGTCTAGATACTTTTGATCAGGCGAGTTAGCAATAGAAAAACTAATATCAATAAAGAAATCGTCTTTCACTTCATGTAATCTAGTTAAAAAAAAAAAACTTTAAATTTGGTACGAAAACATGCTTGTATAACTGAATGAGAAGTTCGAAACTAATGCCAAAACAGTACAAATATTTTCTGGAAATCTTTAGATGACAGTAAAACAAAAATTTTCTTTGCGAAACTTGATAGAATCTTTAGAAAACCTGTTTTTTTACAGTTTAATCTTGTTGAAAGTTTCATCAAAGATGCACTTTGTGTCATAGAGTCTATTCTGAAGATTTTGAATTTATTATCTATGCTAAAAGAACTTATTCAAAAAAAATAAATCTTGTAAAAAATCAAAATCAAATGAAAGGTATGTATATTTTATTTTGCCTGAAATGGTTCATATTCTGGTTTAATAAACAATATTATCTATTGACTTTATCAACCTGTATTTGGACTGATGAAAATTTAGAAATTATGAAATAAAAAGCTGCGTGAGATATTACTATTACTACACTTAAGACATCGCACAAAGATTTGAATATGAAGAGTTAAACGTTCTCTACCTACAGCAGTCAACTAATAATACAGAAAAGTGAATAACTTTTGCGTTGTAGAAGAGAACACCATTGAAAAATGAACATAAGAATGATTTAATAGAGTTCGACAAGTTGGCTTCAAGTGTCATGTGTAAGACTAATGGAACAATATTTCAGATGAATTTGAATTCAACTTTTTCTATAATGTATAAAATACGATTTATAAACGAATCAATATTTATCTGATAAGTTAACTTCTCTTTTTTCAATTTGATTCAAGTTACAACCATTTCTTTTAAAATATTTCTGTTCAAATAAAATAGAGATTTATTCTTCATATACTTATTGTAACATTGACAATTTGGCAAGAAAAAAAAAGACATGATTGTTCATTGAATGTTATTGATCAAGAATGTTCTATAGCATAAATAGTTTTTAAAAAAGTGATAATTCATTTTGCACTTGTGGATTCAATTAAATGAATCAACGTTTTGTACTCAACGAACTAAATGAATATGAATGGCAATTAATAACCATTCATTATTTTATTCTATAACCTGTCAAGATATTTTGATCAAGTTAAATAATTATAATATTTAATTTGATAAAATTTGTTTGCAATTATATAAATGAAGTCTGATTATCATGAGACATCTATCATTTCAGGCAAACGTGGTTGTTTTTTTTTAGTGATCATCGATTTTTCTCTCAATTAATAATCAACTATCAAGATTCCTTATCTGTGAAATAGGATACTCTATATATGAATAGAAATTCAAGTGTTCAAACATGATTTTAATTTTTATGTCGATTTAGTTTTAAAACATGATAATCAATTTTATATTTTTGCGTTCACTTAACAACACTAATAATCATAATAATAATAATAATAACAACCATAAACATAATAAAAGTGTTGTTCTCAATTTCTTTTTTTTTTCTTTCTTTTTCATCATTATGTTT